TCATTAGGTCACTGATTAGGTCATCCCCGGTTGTCAGTACCAGGTCGAGCAGCCCTTTACCTCTCATCGGCCTGTAGACCTCCTGTGTCAGATAGAGGCCATCCATGCATGAGAGGAAGCTTTGTGACTGCTCAGATTTGCCTGGGCACTCCTCCCATGAGATGTCTGGGTAGTTAAAGTCTCCCATGACAACCATACACCAGGAGCGTGTGGCCTCAGCCAATTCCCTGGCAAACTCCCAGTCAAGGTCTTGACCCTGGGTAGGAGGTCTGTAGTAGACTCCCACCATAGTATCCCCTGTGCTGTGTTCCCCACGGATTTTAACCCAGAGGGTCTCAAGTCATCCACCGTGGGTGCCAATGTCAGCTTGCAGGTTCGTGTAGCTTTCCTTGATATAGACAGCTACACCCCAACCCCTTTTGTCCACTCGATCCCTCCTGTACAGTGTATAGCTATCTATACCCGTGGACAGTTATGGGTGGAGTCCCACCAGGTCTCCATTATCCCTAATGACATCACAGTTATTTGTGTTTAGCAGAAGGGTAAGTTCCTCCTGTTTATTCCCCAGGCTCCTGGCATCCGTGTATAGGCACGCAAGTGTCCCCATGGGGGTCTTTGCCTTGCCTACAGTTCGTTCCAGGGCTGGGGCAGGGGTGGGCTCCCTTAAGTGCCTTGGCCTGCTGGCTTTGCAAGGGTTGCTCAGCGGGCCAGCAGTGGCAGTAGTCCCCCCGTCCCCCGGCGGGCTTACTTTAAAGCTTTGTAACCTTTGTAACTTGGATCCATCACAAGGGAATTTTTTGCATCTTTATATCTGTAAGACATTTGCGCTCATCTTCCCTCCTGTCCCAGTAAGTTTCTCATTCAAGTCACCATATACCCATCACTGGGCAGACACTGAAGGGAGGAAATGTAAAGCCGATGTGTATATTGGGGGAAGTTCTGGCTTTCCTGCACAGACTGTGCTTGTAATAAGGCAATTGCCTCATAGCTTTTCTGTTCACCCCATTACTTCCCTCTTTTAACTGCATGCAGACACCAGCTGGGATCCATAGGCGGGAGCTGCAGAAGGCCTCTCCCTTCATTACAGCTGCTCAGAAGAGCCCCTGGAGTGCTTGGCTGCTCATCACAAAGTGAGGCTGGAAGGGACCTCCAGAGGTCATCTGGTCCAACCCTCAGCCTGAGGCAGGATCAGCCTTAATCAGACCATCCTATACGAATTCTTCATCTAAACTCCTCATAAGACAACCATCAGCCTTGGCACAACACGGACCTAACATGCAAACATGCCACAGGTAAAGCAGGAGAACCACGGCAGCCGGCATTCCTGTTTCTATGAAATGTTGTCAATATATGCCCAAGAGATCCCAGGCAGAGGCTATGCTCTGGGGTACAGAGGGAGTCAACTCCCCCACCTGCACCAGTCTGTCCATGGGGTAAAATTCCTTCCTGGCCCCAAATGTGGCATCGGTCAGATCCTGAGTGGAGGGGAAGACCCTCTAGCCAGGAACCTCTGGCTCCAGCAGGACACTGGCACAGCCCAGTCAAAGTCCCCAGTCTGGGCTGCAGCCAACACCCAGGGAAGCTTCAAAACACCCTGACACATATAGCAGAAAGGGGAGGGAGGGGAAGGGGCAACCTTCCTCCACTCCAAGCCCTTGGGCCAGCCTGAGGTCTCAGCTCTGCTCCTGGTCGTCTCCCTGCAGGCACAGGCGGGCTCCTGCAGCCTCCGGGGTTGCCTACTGCAAAGCTGGAAACAGGCAGCAGACAAGAGCGGAGATGGGGGATAACATTACACTGTGGTCAGAGCCACAGGTAGGAAAGGCTCCCCTGGTGCCTCCCATTGACCTCGGCCATGGAGCAGCTTCTCCATGTGAACCTGGCATTTGCTCTCCTTTGCATTTGGCACCAGGATCTTCTTTTTCTTTTT